TCATCAATGCATTTACTTATGGTTCTTCGTAAGGTTTGTGAAGTATATTCAGATGGTTTGGTGATTTGGGCATAATGCTTGAGAGTAATTAATAAATGCATGGTTTGTTGAATTTTGCATCGCATAGACATATAGATGTGCATTTAGAAACTAAAAATCATGAATATAGGGGGTGAAGCCATATTCAGCCAATCAAGAGATTAAGGGATGATGAATCTTTGGACTTGATGATAAAGTTAGACTTCCTAGAAGCATATGAAGCATAGGACGATATTAGAGACTAATTTCAAGAAAAATATTCATTAGCTCTGGTGGTATAACGGTTTACAACAAAGTACATCATGCTATGGGTTTAAAATCAAATACTTTGTTCTGTTTTTTTTATCTTTTCTAATTTCCCCCCCCCCTTACCCTAAATTACCACCAAGCTAACCAATGTTTATGTTTAGCTCAATGTATACATTGACTGACTAATTTAGTTTCTAGACACACCTTTTTTTTTTATCAACTTCTAAATACTATCACGACATTATCATGAGATTCAGGTCTAGAAAAAAAAATGCGTCACACATAAAAATTATATATTTTTATTAAAATTATCCTGACATGAAATATGTATTAAAATGATATTAATTAAGCTTTAAATTTTCTTTAAAAATTAGTTTTTTTTAAAAAAAAATTGACTTTTTAAAAAAAATTGACTTTTTTTAAAAAATTAACCTTTTTCTTATTTTCACCACATTAAAATAACAAAAAGTAACCGATCAAACTTTAAAACATGTCTAATCATACTTGTTGTAGGAGATTAATTTTTGAAGGAAGGAATATTGGAAAATCAATCCAAGTGGCTCATCAGAATTTTTAACAAAAATGATTTAATAGATTAATTACATCCCATATCAATTAGTATGAAACTTTTAAAGAAGAGCTCAAAAATAATGCGAGTTTTGCCTGATGGACCAAATCGAACAATATTTTACTAACAAATTTTTTTTGACATAGGCTTAAAACTACCTAACATATTTGTATTTATTAAGGGAAAAAAACTCTAATCTTATTATTTCCATAAGCAGTGTATATATATATTACATAACTAATGTATCAGAAACCCTAATGGGCCATGAGACATTAACCTGATGGTTAATGGGCCGGTTACTAGAAGTCCATTTGTTTATAACACTCCCCCTTGGACAAGGTAACCGTGCCTGTCATAAAACCGGGATCTCTATAATGCGCTGGGGAACGTTGCCTCATTAAAACCTTACCAGGAAAACCCAGTGGGAAAAACCATGGTGAAGGAAAAAGAGTACAACACGCATTACTCCCCCTGGTTTAGGCATCACTGTAGATCTCTAAGTCTACACATTCCTATCTGATGAATGAGCTTCCGGAGTGTAGAAGTCGGTAATGATTTAGTGAATAGATCGGCTGAATTTTCGCTTGATCGGACTTGCTGAACCTTGACCTGACCATCCTTCTGTAGCTCATGAGTGAAGAAGAATTTGGGCAGAATATGCTTCGTCCGGTCACCTTTGATGTAGCCGTCCTTGAGTTGAGCGATACAAACTGCAATGTCTTCATACATCACCGTAGGCTCCTTATCTTCGTCCATACCACAATCTGATCGGATATGCTGAGTCATGGACCGCAACCAAACACACTCTCTACTAGCTTCGTGAATGGCCAAGATTTCCGCATGGTTGGATGAGGTAGCGGCAATAGTCTGCTTCATGGATCTCCAAGATATGGCTGTTCCTCCATGCGTGAAAACATAACCGGTTTGAGACCGGGCACAGTGCGGATCTGACAAATATCCTGCATCAGCAAAACCAACTAAACCATCCTTGTTATGGTTAGAATAAAATAATCCCAAGTCCTTAGTACCTTGAAGGTATCTAAGGATGTGCTTAATACCGTTCCAGTGCCTTTGAGTTGGACACGAACTAAAGCGAGCTAAGAGGCTCACGGCAAAGCAGATGTCTGGTCTAGTGTGACTAGCCAAGTACATTAATGCTCCTATAGCACTGAGGTATGACATTTCAGGACCGAGGATTTCTTCATCGTCCTTCTTTGGACCGAATGGATCACTATCCAATCCAAGGCTCCTCACAACCATTGGGCTGGTTAATGGGTGGGCCTGGTCCATATTGAATCTCTTGAGTACCTTTTCAGTGTATGCCAATTGATGCACAAGGATTCCGTCATTGACGTACTCAAGTTGTAATCCCAAACAGAATTTAGTTTTGCCTAGGTCTTTCATTTCAAACTCTGCTTTTAAGCATTCAACTGTTTGGGCGATTTCACCAGATGTTCCGAGGATGTTCAAGTCATCCACGTATACTGCTATGATTACAAATCCTTTGTTTTGATATTTTCTGATGAAGATGCATGGACTGATCGGATCGTTTTCGTAGCCTTCTCTGATGAGATATTCGCTTAACCGGTTATACCACATACGTCCGCTTTGTTTCAGTCCATATAAGGATTTGTTCAGCCTAATGCAGTGTTTATCACGAGATGCATGCTTATCTTTGAGCTCAATACCATCTGGTAATCTCATATAGATTTCACTGTCCAGTGGTCCATAAAGATATGCGGTTACAACATCCATTAACCGCAAATCTAAGTTTTCTCTTATGGCCAGACTTATGAGGAATCGAAATGTAGTTGCATCCACCACTGGAGAATAAGTCTCCTCATAATCGATTCCGGGTCTCTGTGAGAATCCTTGTGCTACAAGGCGTGCCTTGTATCTAACGACTTCGCCGAGTTCGTTTCTTTTACGCACAAAGACCCATTTGTTTCCCACTGGTTTAACATCGAATGATGTCCTTAAGATCGGACCAAACACATTCCGTTTCTTTAAACTATTCAACTACACGTTTATGGCTTCTTTCCATTTCAGCCAATCTGATCTACGAGTGCACTCAATTATAGACGTGGGTTCTAGATCCTCTTGCGTGTGCGCAATCTCAAGTGCTATCTTGTATGCAAAAGTTTCATTGATGTCGACATCTTTTCTGTTCCATAGAGAACCGAATATGATATAATTGATTGAGATCTCATTATTATCAATCCCTTCAGAACCTTGAGTTTTGGCGTCCCAAACCTCTTGAGATGGTTCGATAGGGTAAGTATCAGCTGAGGCTGTATCCGTGTTCTCTTGAATCCCGGTTTCAATCATTGCACCTTTCTTTGATTTCCGGGGATTCTTATCTTTGGAACCTGGTGGTCTGCCACGTTTCTTACGTGCGTCAGACTCTGTAGCAACTTGACTTTTCCCTGAGGGGACATATATTCGTACTGGTGCATTACAAGCTGGTATGTACGATTTGGTAACTTTGTTCGGGTCAGCAAAGGAATCTGGCAATTGATTAGCTAGCTTTTGTAAATGTATAATTCTTTGGACCTCTGAATCACATTCTAGAGTCCGAGGATCTTGCCATTGTGTGGATGTTTGATTCCATGAAAGTTCTTTTACCAGCTTGTCTGTCTCACCACCTAATCTAGGATATACCGATTCATCAAATCGGCAATCTGCATATCTGGCTTTAAACAGATATCCTGTAGTTGGCTCGAGATATTTTATGATGGTGGGAGAATCAAAACCAACATATATTCCCATCCTCCTTTGAGATCCCATTTTAGTCCTCTGTGGTGGTGCAATGGGTACATAGACTGAACACCCAAATATTTTAATATGGGAGACGTCTGGCTCATGACCCGTTAGCAATTGGGATGGTGAATATTTGTGCTCACTAGATGGTCGTATGCGTATTAGTTCAGCGGCATGTAAGACTGCGTGTCCCCAAGCTGAGACCGGGAGTTGTGACCTCATGAGTAATGGTCTAGCAACCCATTGAATTCGTTTAATGAAGGATTCAGCTAATCCATTTTGTGTATGGACATGTGGAACGGGATGTTCAACACTTACCCCCATGGAAATACAATATTCATTAAACGCTTGGGAAGTGAATTCACCAGCATTATCAAGACGTATAGTCTTTAATGGGAAGTCTAGAAAATGGGCTCGTAATCTGATGATTTGGGCCAATAACCTAGCAAAAGCCTGGTTCCTAGAAGAGAGCAGACAGACATGCGACCAGCGGGTCGATACGTCAATGAGGACCATGAAATATCTGAATGTCCCACAAGGTGGGTGAATTGGTCCACATATGTCTCCTTGGATTCTTTCCAGAAAGTTCAAGGTCTCTTTAGACACTTTGACTGGTGAAGGTCGGGTAATCAGTTTCCCTTGTGAGCAAGCTGTGCACTTGAGGTGCTGAGGGAAAAATACCATTTGGTTTAAGGCTGTGCCCTTTAGAATTCTGGACTAATTTACGCATCATGTTCGCACCGGGATGACCCAGGCGATCATGCCAAATAGTGTAATCTAAAAACCGTGCTTTGATAGCAGCATTAGCCTCAATCATACTGACTTTAGCATGGTAAATGCCAGTAGATACGGCGGGTATAGTTTCAAAAACTTGTTTATGACCATTTATCATTTTAGTGATAATTAAAAACTCTTTGTTCCCTTCATCCTGAGTTTCGATATGGAAACCATTCAATCTTATGTCTTTGAAACTCAATAGGTTTCTCTTAGAACTGGGTGAGTATAAGGCATCAGAGATGTCTAGATATGTGCCATTTGATAACAACACATTAGCTTGGCCATGGCCCTCTATTAGGCTCGAACTACCCGCTATAGTGCTAATATTTGCGGTTTTGATTACTAAATTTATGAAGTAATTCTTGTCTTTTAGAATGGTGTGGCTCGATCCACTATCCACAATGATATCCATATTGTCTTGCATATCTTCATTAAACAAGAATTATAATTCAATAACATGCAAAAATGAGATGTAAATAAAACATTACTCCATAAATTAAAATGTAAAAGCAAAAGGTCTTAAAAATCCAAAGTAAAGACAATAAATCCCAAAAACAAAAGATAAAAGTTTAAGGAGTAATGAAAAACAAATTCAGATTTTTTGAGATCAATCAAGAAGGTCGGAGAGCTCATAATCCATGCCATCAATCTTATCATCCTTTGAGTCATCTTCATTGACTTGATGAACCAGGTTAGCCTCATGATTATCTTTCCCATACTTCTGGTAGAGCTCAGCAAGATATTTGGAAGTACGGCAGTTCTTGACCCAATGATTAGTCATTCCGCATCTTGAGCAAGGAGTTGGTCTAGATGAACTGCCTCTTTGGGTCGGTTTGTTGATACCACGACCCTTACCCCGACCAAAAACTGAGGTTAGGTCGGTTATCTTGGTTCGGTCTACCGCGTCCTTTGCCGCGCAGTCCATGTCCATTTCCACGTCCACGTCCACGATCTGAGGATCTGTTACGTTGGACGAAGTTGGACTCTTTTCTGGTTCCTTCTGGCAATGGGGCTGATCCTGGAGGCCGCATGGCACTGTTCCTCAACAGAAGCTGATTGTTCTTCTCAGCAAGCAGTAAGCAAGATATCAAATCCTCATAGGTGCTATGATTCATGGCACGGTATTGTTGTTGGAGAACAACATTGGGAGTGCCAAAAGTAGAGAATGTTTTCTCTAGCATATCCTTATCAGTGACCTCCTCGCCACATAGTTTTATGAGTGCAACTATCCGAAAGAGTTCGGAATTGAATTCTTCGACGGATTTGAAATCTTCGAACCGTAGGTTCTTCCAGTCGAACTTGGCTTGGGGCAGTATGACCGTTTTCTGATGGTCATATCGCTTTTTCAGTGCCACCCAAAGTTCGAGTGGATCCTCAAGAGTGAGGTATTGTTGCTTGAGAGACTCAGCGAGGTGATGGCGGATAATAAATATCGCCGAGTACCGTTCTGTTTGAGTCGCGGTGTTGGGATCTTTGATGCATTCACCCAGACTTTTTGAGTTGAGGTAGATCTTGGTGTCAAGGGCCCATTTGAGGTAGTTATCTCCGGAGACAGTGAGTGCCTCATATTCGACTTTCTGAATGTTTGACATCTGAAACATATAATAATTTATGTTAAATAATCAATAGTATGAGACTATGATCATTGGAATAAGGGATTTAAGGTATTCTTGGGAAAACTTTCCATTTCAGGAAACTTGCTATTTTAGGAAACTTGCTATATAAGGGAACTCTAAAATCGAACCTTAGGGTTTATAACCTAGCCGGTTTACTAGTGTTTCCAAATTTAGCTCTAATAGATAAACATTGGTTTTTTTTTTTTTTTTTTTTTTTTTTTTTTAAGGGTTTAGGGTTTAGGCAATCTAGAGATTGATTTTGGAAACTAATTTGAAATTAACCGATTAAGCTTAAACCGATCGGAATGATCGATTAAACAACAAAACCGGTTAAATTAGATTTAATTTTGGAAACCGGTTATTAAGGTTATTAATCGGTTAAGGGATTAAACTAAACGGATTTGCTAGGGTTTAATTTTTATTAGGAAAAACCGATCGGTATAGGGTTTGAACAAAGCATTAGGGTTTAGGTTTTATATGATAAAGCTGATTAGGAAAAATAAAACCAATTATGGTTTTGACAAGAAGAAAGAGGATCGGTTTGGTTATGGTTTTAAAAACGAAAAAGACGATGAAGAATCATGAATGAAAAGAACCGATCCATATTAGGGTTTTCAAAAAAAAAAAAAAACCAAAACTTTGATTAGGATCTATAGTTTTAGATAATACCTTTTCGCCAAATGGATTTCTGACCGGCTTATGATCTGGGAGCTAAAGACCACAGATATCTACTAGAAACTCCTGCTGATGATGGCCAGAAGGGAGGACGAACAGCTGCTACAATGGAGGAACCACCGCTTGGAAAGAATCACCCGCTAAGGTGGGACAGCGCCGATTGTTTTGAGTCTTGAGGGCGCGTCTGGTGTCGGATTGAGGAGCGGTTTTCACCACTAGATTCTTCTCTTCCAGGGCTTCAAAATGATATGTAGATCGCCTTCTAACTCCTTGTATTTTGAGAGATATGATCGTTTGAAGTTGAGCTTCGTGCTGATAACGTATTAAGGGAAAAAAACTCTAATCTTATTATTTCCATAAGCAGTGTATATATACATTACATAACTAATGTATCAGAAACCCTAATAGGCCATGAGACATTAACCTGATGGTTAATGAGCCGGTTACTAGAAGTCCATTTGTTTATAACAGTATTTGTTTTTTTTTTCCCTTTGGTCAACATAAAGAAAATTCACATAGAAAATTCTTAAATTCAAGACAGAAAAGCTAGAGATTCTAAAAAAATTTCCTCTTTTAACGACACATCAACTTTTTTTGTTTAATTATCTCCTAGACTAATATGTACACATGTAAGGAGGATTCGCATCTGAAACAAAAAAATTAGAATGTAATAAAACTAATAAGCAAGTCTAAAGACTCTAAACATAATTCTTTTTTCTTTTTCTAAGACATTTAAAATGAAAAAGTGTTAAAAAGGATTGAACTTTTTATTTTCATAGGACAGTCTCGTTATTCGAATCAGTGTGTCAAAGAGACTTTGTACTAACCAAAGCCAAAAGTGGTGAAGTTACTTTCATCCGTATTGATGTTAACAGAGCAGCAACCTCAGTGTTTTTTAGGTCCGATGCAGAGAATAATCGATCTTCGTTTGGACTTAGTAGAGTCAATAATATTAACCAATAAACCTGAGGCTTTTACAAGATTTTGAGTAAAAAAAAAAACTAAGCAAATCCTAGAGGGAGTCTCCACAAAACGTTTTGTGCTTTTTAACTCTCGAATCTGAATCCTGACCTTCATAATTTGAAAACCAATCAAACACATCATTCTTCTTCACCTCAGAGAACAAACACAACTCTTCTTGGTTTCTTCCTCGGTAAGCCCGACTAGACCCGGCATCTATTCTTGTAGAGGGTGGTTCTGAAGATATACCAAGCCTCAAGGATAAATCACAGAGACTCTCTGTTGCTGCTTCTTCAGGGGCCTTTATACCGATAGGCATGCCAATGATTATAGGCGTTTCAGGGACTCTAAAAGACATGTCCACTTGCTGCGTCTGATTATTACCTCCTCCGTAATACAAAGGATACACCGAACCCAAGTTGATTGGAGCTGGAGCTGGAGAAGTGCTGGTCGCTAGTTTTCTTGCCAATGGCTTCTGATGCATCTGCATTGATTCATGTAGAAATGGGTAACCAGGAGGAGCTACGTGCTTGTTGCTGTCATCAAGAACATCTACAGGGATCGCAGCTTGACCGGTATGGCTTGGTTTGGTGGGGTTTTGAGCTTGATGATGATATTCATGATGGTATGACGGCTCATTAGCAGACGCAGAAACCGGTTCTTGGATTTTTGGACCGAGGTAAGTCCTTATGCTACTATGTCGTTGGCTTCTTGAAGCTCTTACAGCAATGCATCCCAGGTTAAGAGCAGCTGGCCACAACAACAACAACAAAAAGAAAAACAACAACTTTTTAAACAAAATCAACAGTAGAAAGCACACAACTTTTTCCTAGGATTTGGCTTTTAAGCAAGCTTGTTCAATCCCAAACCTCACTGTAACAAGTTCACTAACTTCTAAGCAGTTTTAAAATGCATAGCCTTTTAGAAAACAGTTGAATATGCAAAATTAAATAAAAGGCAAATCACCTTCAACACAAGGAGGCAAAAGAGGGCCAGTTTCTGTGCTTTCATCTCTCCTAATAATGGTGTCAATCGCATCATTCACCCTATTCCACATAGTATCAGCATCTGTATACTCTTCCTAATGAAAAACCGAAATCCAAAGTCAGCAAAAAAACACAATAAATTTCGTGAGAAATGTACACAAAAAAAGAGAGTTAAAAACCTCGGAATTGGCTTTAGAGTACATGATTTCTTCGGCTTTCAAGACAACGACAGGAAGCTTCTCCTGCCATTCTTTGTTCTTCCTCGTCGCTCCACTGTGTGCTTCCATGGCTAGCCTGTAATCCAAACAGCAAAAAAAAAACCCATCAAATTAAGAAACAAATTTAGAAACCCTAGAGAGTTAAAGAGGTAAGTTGAAAAAACCTGAAAATCTGGCGGATAATTGAACCTCTAATGGGTTGGTGACGATCGCTATGCCAAGCTCGTTTCACACACTCGTAAGGTCTAGGACCAGGCCTCGGCATTTTTTTTTCTCTTCTTCAGCTTCTTAAAACTCGGATGCTTTCTTCAGCGCCTAAGTGACACTCAGCTACAAATCGAAGAAACGAACCAATCATTCAATTTTCCGGTCAGAGAAGTCGGCGAAATGGTGGTTTTTGCAGCTTTTAAGATCGTTTTTAACCGATCCAAGGACTACGAAGGAGGAGGAAGAAGAAAACAGATCTGAAGCTTTGAAGCTCTGAAACTTGTTTTTTGAAATTTTATCCGAAGGGAGCTCACCATGGATGCATCACATCTCCATCTTCGGGGAATCTCCGTAGTTACTACGTCTCCATCGTCGCCGTCATAGCTCCTTCTGAAAAATGGTGTGTGATTTTGATTTCGGGGACCAGTTTTCTAAAACCGAACCAGTTTTGTGATTTGACTATTTTACCCCTCGTCTTGTGAACTGTCGTTTTGCGTTTAAATAAGAGGCAGGTGCTAGGTTCGAAGCACGAAAAAAACCTTTTTCGCAGGAAATACGTTGGATAATCATAGCAAAGTAAAATTTTGAATTAAAGCTCTCTTATTCAATTTTAGGGTGGCTAATTACCCTTTATCTTTTTTTATATTTTTTAAATTAAATTTAATAACAAAATTATTAAAAATTGTAAATTAATTAAAAAATATTAAAAATCGTAATTAAATAAAAATATTAAAAAACGTAATTAAATAAAAATATTAAAAATCGTAAATTAATTAAAAAACTGTTAAAAATCGAAATTTAATCAAAAAACATTTAAATTTAATAAAATTATGAAAAATCGAAATTTAATCAAAAAATATTTAAAATAGAAAATAACGAAAATTTAAAAATTGGAATTTAATCAAAAAAACATTTAGAATCATATCATATATAATATATGCAAAGTAAAATTTTCGCTATAAGATCTCTCATTCTATCTAGGTAACTAATTCCTCTTTATTCGTTAATCGGATTATCTGTTGAGCGAGATTATCTGAAAAAAAAATATATATATGTGATGTGGGAAATCCTAGCTTAAATTGAGAGCTATATATAAATATATTACTTTTTTAAATGTATCTTAAGCTCAATTGTGGTTTGGTTTCTACATTGGTCGGCTTTTTGTTGTATTGTTTACCGTCTTTATTTTTTATAAATCAATTTTTCGTTTTTTCTATTGTTTTTTTCTGTTTTTTCAGTACCAGTAGTAGTGTTCCTCGATTATATGTTGTTGTTTTATGTTGTCAGTTATTCTTCCTTATTTAACGTGATTAAAACCATATCAACATATCATAAATCATCTTCATTGTCTAATGAACAGGTTTTAAGTCTTTTGTTTTTTTTGCTTGTTTTAAAGATGGCTTTCTGAATTCTGTTTATTTTTGGAATAATGTAAGAGATGCCAAATACTCTAGCAGGACGTAGAGGAAAAAACCAAAAAAGAAAACAGAAAAAGGGAAAAAGGGAAAAACGAAGTAGAAAAAGAAGAGAAAAAGATAAACT